ATGTTAGTATAAAAGCAGGTCTCCAAAACAATACTACAGTGTCACCTAAAGAAACTAGAAAAAGAGCAAAGTATACACAAAAGCAGTACAAATAATAAAGGGCAAAATTAATGAATTATAGCACAGAAAACAATAAAGAAAAATCAGTAAAGCCAATAGTTCTTTTAAAAAATGTAGTAATTCATAAACCTCCAGCAAGATTGACCAAAAAAGAGAAAACATAAATTACCAGTATCTGGTGATCATCAATACACATGCTGCAAATATTACGATATCACATGCATTCCCCCAAGCCAGTAAGTCAGAAAACTTACATGTAAAATTTCTTGAAAAACACAATATTCCAAAACTTATTCCTGAACATACATTATGACAACATCCCCATTACCATTTTAAAGAAATTGAATTCTTAGTTAAAACCTCTGGCAAAATCAGAACTCCATGCCTAGGTAAGGTCACTGGTAAATTCTACCAGATCATTGAGCAATGAAGATGACAGGTTCTATACACTAACGAGCAGGGGATGCTCCCCACCTTGTTTGTAAGGGCAAATATGATCCTGAAATGAAAATCATCCAAGTACATAAACTCAGTAAACTAGAGACAGAATTTCTTCAAGCTCACAAAAGAGGTATAAAGAAATCTTCATATCATATAACATTATCTTTAAAACATTTTAGGCTTAGAGAACACTTACAAAAATAGTGCACAGTTACCACATACCCCTTGCCCAATCTTCCTGAAATTTTAACATCCTACATAATAACCATTCTATAATTATCAAAACTAAGAAATCAACATCAACGCAATGCTATTAGTTAAACTACTTACTGCTCCCAATTTAAGAGTTCATCTTCCCCACAGATGCCATGTTTCTACTCCAGGATTTCACCCAGGATCCCACACTACTTAGTCTCCTTGCCATCACTCTCCTCAAACTGTGAAAACGTGCCCACTGTTCTCTGCCAATCGTGAGGCTGACAGTTACCTGTCAGGTAGCCAAAATACCTGGCTGACCAGGTATTTTGAAGAGTGTCCCCATGTGGGTTCATACTCCTTGGGCTTTCTCATGATTATCTTGAGGTTATGCACTTTGGAGAGGTGTTATTCCCCCTCAGAACGTCACTAGTGGGTGACATGGTGTCAGAATGTCAGACTAGCGGTGATGTAAACCTTGATCACTTGGTGAAAACACTGTCCGCCAAGTGTCTCTAGAGTAAGGTAAGTCACTGACTGTGCTGCTGGTGATGCAGCCCGAGTGCCTGCACATCCTGGGCAAGAGTTCTACCACAGGGCTCCTGCTCCAGCTGAGGCATTGTTTTTATTGTTGTAAACAATGGTTTGGAGGAGATACTTTGAGACTATGCAAATCTCCTCTTAAACCTCTGCCTACTCATTTTAGCATTCATGGGCAGATCCTGCAGGCACAATTCTTACTCTATTGTCCTGGGAGTGAATTTTCTATTTCTCTCATTCCTTCTATCTTTATTAATTGGAACTCATCTTTAAGGAAGACATGTACCTTCTCAATATTACTTTTTTTCAATCATTTATTTATAAAGTATGGGTTCACCGGTGTTTATTTTATTCTTTGGATCATAATCTAACACTGTATTTTGTTACTGACATTGTTCCAGCTTTTGCCACAAGGTTGACTCCTTTCTATCTGACTTTAAAAAAGCTCTTCTGAACTTCCTGGCATTACAAAATACTTCAGGAATATCTTTTACTCTTGCCATACAAGCTCCTAAATCAATCACTTCATCCAGGAGCTTGGGTTCCTCTTATTGGTACATGAGATCTACAAAGCTATACCCAGCTGCTAGATGTGCTCATTAACTAAACCACTATTATCAACTTTATTTAGAGTTCACCATATTTTCCCACTAATGCCATCAACATGAACTTAACACTGAAGTTAATGGAAAAACATGTTTTCTCTCTAACTTCAGAAACAAAGTCAGAATGTCCACTCTTTCTACTTATATTCAACACTGTAGTGGAAGTCTTAGTTGATATAATAAGGCAAAGAAGAAAGAAATAAGATATACCAAGATGTGAAATGAAGTAAACATATTTCTATTTAGAGATTATAATCATCTATACAAAGAATCATAGGTAATCTACCAAAAAGAATTCTACAAGGAAGAAGTGAGCTGTCCAAGTTTACAGAGTATAAACTGATGTAAAACTTTTAAATATCATTACATTGGCTAATATGCAATACTTAATAATAGATCTAACAAAATATGTGCAAGACTGAATCACTGAAAATTACAAAACATTACTAAGACCAGTTAAAGACCGATGGAAAGATACAACATGCTTAGAGATCTGAAGGCTCATTGTTAAATCTTAAGATTTAAATCACACACACACACACACACACACACACACACACACACACACACACACACAATAACCTAACAGATTGACAACAGCATAAAATCTGTATGAATTCACTTAGAATTTACCTAGATGAATTCATACCAAAAGATTTCCTGCAAGAGATTCTAAAGCCTGAAAGCCCTGAAATGATTTGGTGGTATGTGTCAGCCCATCAAATGGCCTTGATCATTCTACAAAGGAGGCACGAAGCAAAACGGGACGGGGGTCTAGATTTCAGTCCTGTGCTATGAGTGGAAATCACCCTCTTTGTAATTTAAGTTTACTTGTCTTGCCTAGAGAGAGATTTAGATCTCCCCTAAAGATACTGGCAACTCTAGATGTCTTTCTGCCACAACTTTTTGAAAAATGGTCAATAATTATGGAATAAATCAACAAAAATAAGTCTCCCAACACTTATTAATAAGTCATAAAATATCTGATCTTACAGGTGAACTGACCACTTGTGAATAAATTACACATTTTAAAGATATGTGTCCCATAAAAATGTTCAATTTCATAACTTCATATTTTATACTGCACAAAGAATGAGAATTTTAACTGAATTCATTAAAATAGCTACTACTGTCAGGCTGGTTCTTTTAATTTATTTTTCTATGATAGGATGTAAACCCAACTACCACACTTCATAGCTTTTTAGAAAGGGACTCGAAATACGAAGGCACCACTGTGATACTGATAACCAGCGCCTCCTCTCATAAGCAGTACCCCTTAAGTCACCTGGTGCACAGTACTGGCCCTTGGTGAGGCTACCGTTCATGGAAACACTACCCTTTCCGTGGCTCTATTTCTTTTTGCAAGATGCTTTACACCTTTGTTCAAATTAAGTGGCTTCTACAGAATTTTTTTTAATCATTTAAAACTATTTAAACTAATCCTCTACCTACATAAGCTGCATGCAGGTGTGTCTTGGCGGCTCCTTCTCTCTGCCCAACTCACTGACTCCGCGAACGCCATTCGCCCCAGGTGTGTGCAGCCTAGAGGGACGGGGCCAGGGCAAACCTTGCTTCTTCAGTGATGTGTTGGCTGCATTCGCAGAGCGCTTTCTCCAGGTGAGGCCAAACTATCATTACCACAAAAAGCTGAGCAGCAGTAAGGAAACCACTGCTGTGTATTTTAGTTGCATTCCAAGACTGAAAAGGTGTGCCCCTTCTTTAAATTAGTAATACCATACTGATGCCTGAACCATTATCTATTAAGTAAGTGGTTTCTTTGTTTTATTCTGACCCAGGTGTTACTTCTGGAGACACAGCAAGACCTTGCTCTTTCCCAAGTTCCTTTGTGTTGTACTGACACAGCTCACGAGGGGCTTTTTTACGTACGTATCCATGTCATACGACCATGAGCATGATGTAAACTGGACGTTAGACTGTGTATATGCATTTAATAAACATTTAGGACATTTAAGAATAATCACATACTTCTCATAAGATCTGTAAGAAACTAAAACCACAGCACTTTAATACAAAATAGAACCAAAATGTATGAGACTGGTAGCTTTGAAGCTTTGAATACAAGTGTTGAACATGGTGTAACTATTTTAAATGCTTAGCTATAAGAAATGGGTGGAAAATTTGCTATATTTCCATTAGCAACAACAACGCAAAAATGAAATACTTGTGTTCCCCATAACTCATGTAGTGTTCCATCTCTATTTAAAAAGCTAATAGAGAAGAATATCTGGTATAAAACAAACCCTAAAAAATGTGGATAATATTTCAGAGAATGAATATTAAGGAAAACCAGAATAACTGAAATGGATGGACCAACAAAAATAACTAGATAAAAATTCTAAGTAAATTAATGAATTACTAAATATTTAATATTAAATTTTATACAAGTATTTAAAAATCAAAATATCAAAATCATTGCTAGCACTAACAATATCTGAAGAACCTAAAATATAAGATGAAATAAATGCAACATGATTTCATGTTCCTAAACTCAAGTATAAATCTCAAAATTAAGATTATAATAGGGGCCAGGGATTTAGCTCAGCGGTTCAGTGGCCTGCCTTGCAAGCGCAAGGACCAGAGTTCGATCCCCAGTACCCCACCGCAAAAAAAGATTATAATAAAAGTGAAGATATAATTGGTAACATCATTTTGTAGGCAATAAAGTTCTGTTTCAAATGAGAGGTCTAAGACAATAAAGTTATTACTTTGTTAAATATAAACACTATATTTCTTTAAAATCCTTTGACAATGGGTTGGATATATTAAAGTGTTCGCTTTACAATTAAAATTTTTCAAGTCATAATTTTTTTTGCTAGTTTTTCCTGAAGAAAATGTAACATTAAGTATAATTTAATTTTTTTCAGTTAAAGGAATGATGAGAGGCAAACTATCAAACTACTAAGTGGAGAAAAAAGGAGATTAATTCTTTGAAAACAATGAATACAATGTCAAGAGGCATTTGGGGAGTACAAATGATAAATAAAAATATGGACTAAGAAGTTCAATAGTCACCTAAATGTCACAGTAAAACGAAAACTATCATTATATCATTAAATTTATTCACTTAATTTTTTGCTGTAAGTCCCTTTTAGCAGAGTAGCCAGAACATACACACATTATGCCTTGAATATATCCTACCTTTTTATCATATACATCTTGCCAGTTGACTCCAGAGAAGAAACTGTGTCTCATAATTTCTTTTGCATCATCTGGTCCTCCACCGAGGCTATGAAGACAGAAATAAAATTAAATGAGTATAAAACATTTATATCAAACCAATGGGTTAAATTTTTTGTGAAAGTGTAATTTTCTGAGTAAAAGTAGTTCTTGGAATAGTCATAATAAGCTTTTGCAGTAGGATCTAATTTTTCTAATGTGCTATTAACAAGAATTAGCTTTAGAACAAACAGAAAAGAGCAGAGACCTTGCAGACAGACCTGACAAAAGCAAGCCCCTTTGGTACTTAGGGGAGATATGGTAATGAACAAGAAGTATTACATTAGTTTTGCAAAGCTCAGAAATAACATATATAGCACCTATTACCACTGTGAATTCTCTAAATCAGTTTCCTTTTTTGAATGACTCAAGCCAAAAGGTATCCTTGTCAATATAAATTGTGAAATAATTAAAGCTCAATGGAAAATAATCTGTGAAGTAATGTTATAAACTTAAATATTTTCGTATCTCATATCTCAAAAGAATTCCACAGAAATACCATCCTTAGTCTACACAATATTATAGTGTGATTTGCTTTACAATGTGCAATATGCAATGCAATTTAACAGTTTTAAAAATACTCCTCTCTCCTTCTTAGTTTTTTTTTTTTTTTTTTTTTTTGGTGCTAGGGATCGATCTCGGGTCCTTGTGTTTGCAAGGCAGGTGGCAGAGCCAATGAGCTAAATCCTCAGCCCTCTCTGTCCTACTTTTGAAGAAATTCTTATTTACTTACATAATATATGGCACAATATGAAATTCAGGTATTTTCTAATACAGGGCATATTAGACAATTAGAAAAAAACTGAAAAGCAAGGGGGAGGAAGGGACGTAGGGAAAAAAGAATATGGAAAAGAAAGTAAAGGAAACCTATACAATATGAATTTATCATATCACACTTTCTGTGGACTTATTCATGGTTAGAAAGTATGTGTGCTGAAAACCTAACATGCTCTCATAATATTACTATAAATTTTACTGATAACAAAGGATATGAAGAATCAAATTTATAAAGATTAACAAAATTTATAATTTGAATTTCTTGTTGAATGGCTAATAGTTTTGGAAAAGAAGAGGAATATTTTTGTGCCATTTACAATGTAACGATGCAGACACAACACGCTTCTAAAGTCAACATGCCCCATTAATGCTTTCTCGACTTATTTTTAGCATGGGAACTTTCTGTGTGGTATTAGCATGTTTGTCACACATAATGAACGTATCGCATCTTAGTCCTCTGCACTCCCCTCCCTTCCCTTCCATCTCTAGATTCCCTTCCCATTCCCAGAAAACCCACCTCCTCCCCACTTCCTATCTTCTTTAAACTATTTGTACCATGTAAGAGAAACAATATTACATTTAAACTTCTGTGACTGACTTATTTCACTTAGTGTTGGTCTCAAGGTGCATCTGAGTATTAATCTGTTGTGTATAAATATACTACATTTTCTTTATCCATTCATCTATTTCTTTATCACCTTCTTAAGTCTAAACAGTCAAAACAAGAAATCAAACAGATGTGTAGTACTGGCCAGTTTTGACAGTGTAAAAACTCCCACTATGGCCAATGGCAAGCTATCACAGTGGCTTATCTGTGACTACATATTATTTCCACAGAGATATAACCTCAAGAACATAGGTAATAGTAAAGTTGTAATAAAATTATGAGGAAGTGGTGAGTTTTGAGTATTTATTACCTTTGCTTTGCTATTCACGACTTATGAATTCATGACCAAAAAAATGACATCAGGAAAAGAAAAACTTTAAATATTTAATACTAAATTTATTGAGACTCAAGATTAATACAAGTTACCTTTGGTCTGTACAATTATAAGCTCAAAGGGGGGGCCATGAGTTTCTAGACATTTATTAGTACAGAAAACTGCTAAAGTGTGAATACAGTTCTGTGAACTCTACATTTATAAAATTTAAGCTTTTACAATGGCTTGTATTAAGCATTCAGCTCACAAAATCCCTTAAAATTTGACAACTGGTTACTAACTCTAACACACCACTTGGTGGGAAGAAAATCATTCACTGAAAACAAGTAGCTCTACAATCTAATGAATTCTGGTTATCATATATAAGAAACACAACAATTGGAAGGACATGGGATTCTCTGACACACTGTCAGGCTAGGAAATAAACAGCTGACACCCAAGTATCTGCGGTGGTAAGTGGTTTCCACAAGCAGGTCTCCTACTCTCAGTTCTACACAGAATTCTTTCAATGAACCACATGCCAGAGGTAGGACTTTCAGATTAGATCAGATTGTAACAGTGACATTCACAAGGAAACTTCAGCCTGCCAATTCTGTATTTAGTTAATGCTTAGCATTCTGCTTGCCACCTGCACTGTTTTTCATCCTATTTCAAGTTGTGCTTTTCTCCCCATAGTAGACTGCAAACTCCTTGGAGGGTGAAGATCAGTAATAGAGCATCCAAAATGCATTCTAAGCTTCTGTGTAGAAGACTAGAAAAGCAGAAACACGTAAACATGTTTCTAAAAAGAATCTAACATTTCAGAATAAGCATCAAAGGAGTCTGGGTAAAAGAAAAAACCAGAATCTATCCTACTTTTTCACTTACATTACAGGCTTTACGGTTTACAGACTTCTGGCTGATAGCCTATAATACTGTTCGCATCTGAAGTACACTTGAGATGATGCGTGGGGGCTAGAGAATCAGAATCATTTAATAGACAAAAGCTTCTAGTCCAGGCTCAGGTATTCATTTTCATGTGAAGCCTCAGTACTCAAACCTCAGTAGTTTGGTTCTGGAAATAACCACCGTATATATCAAATATGTAGTGTCATCCACGATTAGCGTGCAAACCCTCAGATTACAATCTTCGACTGCCATCTTAAAAACTGAAAGATATTCACTAACACGCTTCCTCAAAGCATGAAATTTTCAAAAATTTCAATGTCAATGGCTCTCTAATATAAATTTAAGAAACCAAATTTGTACTGAGTTATTTATGTTTAAGAATATTAAAGTCCAATATGAAAATGATAAACAAAGTCCAATATGAAAATGACAAACTAACTCCTTAGAGCCTATGGATTCTTTTTTCTTTTCTTTTTCAGGTAGCACTAGCGAGTGAACCAAGGGCCTTCTCATTGAGTATTTTATTTTTACTCTGAGACAGAGTCTTGCTAAGTCGTAACTTGCCTAGGCCAAACTTGCGATCCTCCTTCCTCAGCCTCCCAGAGCGTTGGCATTACAGGTATGTGCCACCATTCCCAGCTTTGGATTCTTTACTATTAGAAACACCTTAAAATTTCCTTTCTTCTTGGTATACTGAATGCAACACAAGGTCATGCTTTCCCCATATACTCGAAATTGGATGATAAAGAAAGGGCTAATGGAATCAAAGTAACAGAGAACAATAAAAGCAAAACGATAGCTGACTCTTTAAATTCACTAAAGAATACCAAAAACTTCAGGCTGTATTTAAGGTTATTAATGGGGAAAATAAAGAAGTACACTGTAGTACTTTCTTTAGTTATGTTTCCAAAGACTTTTCAGGGTCCTTGATTGGCTTTCTCTTCTTTCTCCCTCTAACTTGATTTCCAGGATTCTGTGCTAGGCCCTCTTCTCTGAACAGTCTTATCCTCTCTACAATTTTCTTGCCTCCAGCTACCTCTGATGTTCATGGCTCCCAAATCCATATACTCAGCTGCTATGTTGCTTTTAAGCATGGCTGTATCATTTGGAACTATCTGACATTTTTGACTAGGTTTACCATAGAAATCTCCAACATGGCATATTAGAAGTTACTATCAACATCCCCAACTCCTAGATGAGCCAGCTCAATTTTTCCAATACCCTAGAGATAATTTCAACAGCACTTTGCACACAGTTTGACCTGAGCATCTGTGAATATTTGCTTTGTGTCCCTCATTATTCCGTGAATTTCTGGAGCAGAGACTTGTTCTTCTTTGTTTTCCCTATATGTTCCCTCTTCCAATGCTCTTACTGCCTGTCTGCTAACAAGGTCCACTATCTATAAACAAGCTCTGAGGGAGCCCCGACTTTGCCTATTTCCTCACAACTCCCGGTAACCGTCTGTAAAGCTCTGCTCACTGCTCTTTACCACTGCTTCCAGAAGGACCCGTCTCTTATCGAGACAATCCCAGAAGCATTCTTAAGTGCTGTCTCCTTGCCCTCACTCTCCTAGACCATCCACCACAGAGCCGCCAGAGCCACCTTTGTTAACATTGATTTGATTACACTGTCTCTTACTTTAAATACTCCGGTGGCTTCTCCTTCCTTTCGAATAGAGATTAAATATTTTCTGAGAAACATAAGGTCCTTATAATCTAACATATCAGCTTCATCTCCCAATGTTACCCAACTCATATTCTACGCTGTAGTCACTGAACTTCTCAAATGCCATGTTCATTTGCATTCTAGCTGCACTTTACATGTAAATTTCTCTGCTTGAATGCCACCGCAAACTCCAACTCCTACACGAGCCAGCTCAAGTTCTCCAATACCCTAGACAGAGATAATTTCAATAGCACTTTGCACATAGTTGGCCTGAATATCCATGAATATATGTTTTGTGTCCCTCATTATTCTGTGAATTTCTAGAGCAGAGACTTATTCATCTTGTTCCTTGTTTTCCCTACATTTTAATTCAGCAGTGAAGGGGCTTGATATATTTATTATAAAAGGAAGTGTCAGATGACTCAGAATACCACATCTTTTCTTAGAACACCACCAACCTGAGTGGAGACACATGCTAGGCCAACAGCACTCCAGAATTCACCTCCCGCTTACTCAACAGATCCTAAACACCTCCTGCGTGCTAGTGCTACGGATGAGGTAGGCTTGGGGTAACAGTTAGCAAAAGAATGGGACACAGACACGAACATCATAGTAGAATTCTGTTCTACCAGCCATTAGATGGAGAGGGCAACAATGCAAAAGGCCACAACTGCCTAGAGGAGTCAGAAAGAGGAGGGGATAAAAATTCACTGCCCTTGAGACTGAGCCCAATATCAGAGCCCAAATCAAACAGATAAAATGAGAGATACAGATTACCTAACCAGACTAAATGTAACACATTTCAAAATCTGAACTGCAAACTGAATGCACTGTAAATAAGATATATAAGAGATACCACGTAGGCACCAAGAAACTTGCTTTCTATTCTTATTCCCCCTGAACTTTCTATGAGACCTGGGGAAAAATCATTTAAATCCTCTTTAGGCCTTTGTTTTCCATTCAAAAGGAAACGTGAATAGTATCTACCCTATCTGCTGTACAAGGCTTTTGGTGGTTTTGTTGTTGTTGTTTTGTTGTTTTTTGGAGACAGGGTCTCACTATGTAGTTGAGACTGACCTGGAACTCACTATGTAGCCCAGGCTGGTCTCAAACTCACAGCAATCCTCCTGCCTCAGCCTCCCCAGTGCTGGGATTATAGGCATGGGCCACCACTCCCAGCTGGCTGTTGTATACAAGGCTTTTGAAAAAGAAAGACAGATCAAAGATGTCAAAGTGTCCTGAAAAAGAAGGCAAAAAGCATTTACAAATATAAGGTTATGCCTCAGCTGTTAGGATTATCAAACACCTTTGTTGAATGGTTCCTCACAAAATAAAAAATGGTATTTCTTTTATTATGTTTGTTTACTTCTGCTGAAGGTACGGTCCCATTCTTTATAAATTAAAGGCTAGAAACATGCAATGAAGCACTTCTGAAGTACACAACGCCCACATTTCAGGATTCATTTATTCCTTCACTTGTTGATTTAATCTGTCAATAAATATTTATTGAACACCAATCATAAATGAACACCGTAACAAAACACTGTGTGAAGAGGAGTTATGGACAATTCAACAACATATGAAATCATCTATCTTCCAGATGCTTAAGATTTCATAGAATTTCAGAGAACTTCACAGATGAAGCTCATACAAACATACAGATGTCTAAAGATGGGAGGGTCCCCATATTCATGTATAAGGACAGATACTAAGGAACGTTTTCATTTCACATGACTTACATGATGTGTGCATATATGAGTGAACATATAAACACGAACAAACACTACTGTGTCTCGAAAGGACTGGAGGACTCTAGGTCATAGCTGTAGTTACAAAAAGAAATACAATGTGTAAAGGGTTTTTTTAAAATTTTTTTTTTCTCTTTGTTGTCAATACTTCAGTCATGCATGGAAAAAAAGAATAGTATTTTCAAATCACAAAAAATAAATTAAAATATGTGTTATCATTGGTTGGGAGTGGGAGGAAAGAGCACAAACAGGTTTATTCTTTCGACAATGTAAATCAGCAGAAATATAAAGGCCAGAGACAGGAATCCTCCTATGCCCACAAGGTCAGGCAGCTGGGCAGCGAAGACACTGTTCTCTCATAATGAAACTCTCACAATCCTTAGCTGTTAAATCTGCATAAACTTTCCAAGTCAGGAAACAGTTGATAAAATTTTTTAAATGTTCTATATTATGCAGTTAAAAATAAATCAGTATTCTCAGAGAGAGGATGCCTACACCAAACACATTACTTCTTGGTGTTAGTTACAGCTGAATTAATTTCCATATCACAACTTATAGCCACATTCATCAGTTACTGAGTGTTATTTGAGGCTTACCGTTTATTTGGATCCTTTATCAAGAGCCCTGAAAGCAATGACTTTGCATCTGAAGAGAGTGTTCGAGGAAATTTAATGTCTTCCATTAGTATCAGTTCAAAGAGCTTCTCATGGTCCTGGTTGTAGAAAGGCAACCTTCCGCACATCATTTCATACATGACAACCCCCAGGCCCCACCAGTCTACTGCTCGGCCATAGTCATTGTCTTCTAACACCTAAAATGAAATCAGCGAAACGATTAATCACTACATACTAATTTTAAAGCATTATTCATAAGATGTAAGGGTTTTACAAAAAACATGCATCCCAATTCAAAAGCCTGTAGGCTATTCTGAGATCTTAACCTCTAAACTATGAAGCAACCTAGAGAAGGTACAAATCACAGCAAGTATGTGGAATACTCAATGTATACACAGAAATGGTCTTTGTTTAAAAAAAAAACACAAAAAAACCTGTGATCCAAAACCAAAAAACAAAACCCAAGTAAATGCGTATATAGAAATAAAATTTAAAATGTTAGCATATTTGCCTATTTTCTCTTAGGGTCTACTTAACGTTTCCATCCTGAGCCCACTAATGTTGACTTTCAGTGACAGTTTAAAGCTAGATGGTGGTGACTATGGAATGTGCAATGCACCTTACACATTCTTGCTTTAAGATCTAAGTAAAAAAACCAAAGTTTTATATTAAAATCAGTGAAAGACAAGAGTAACCAGCACAATATAACAATGGGGAGGACATGGCATGACAATCACTAATATAAATTTGAAAACTTCTCTGAGCCCCCATATTTTTTGAGCTCAGAAAATAATTAATAAAGTAAATATAAGGCTTACTGTTTGGTCTGTAACAAACTTCAGTATCCAAAGCCTCAGTAACTCAATAAAATTTTTATTAAAGACAACGAAAACTATGTACTGGTATATGTCCTTGTATTTGTTTCCCAAAATACACTAAATGCAAAATAAATTCAGCAAAAAAAATGGTATGAAAGTATCACCTTGGTTAGATTAGAGCGACCTGTTTAAATTACAACATGGCAACTTCCATATGACCCAGGTAAAACTTGGTTTCTCCTTCAATGGGATATTCCTTGTCTATATGCAAAAACCAGTATTTTATTTTAAACAATTATTTGAATAATCTTAAAGCTTGCTTTATTTGATCCTCTCAAGCTTTGGGAAAAACAGATTAAGAAAACCACAGACATGAATTGAATCAATTAAAAAAAAGACATATATAACATGATATAATAGAAAAACTGAAAAGAATTGTAATGTTTCAAACTCTTTTGGTTTGGATTAGTCAAGTACTTTGTGGAAGGCTATGTCACTGTTACTTAAAATTTATTAGCAATTTCACAAAATTGCAGGTGATATTTTTGACATATTATGGTTACCTATAAATACTATAAAAGACACTTTGATAGCAAAAGATTTAAAAATGAAGAATCAAATTTGAAGGAAAATCTGTGTTACTTAATGATCTACTCATAGAATACTATGAAAAGATTTTAATTCAATAGTTTCAATGTTTGTCTCGTGGACAGAAAAGTGTAGGAATTGCACCACTAAACCACAGCAAGTCCAGTTATTGTTTTTCCAGTATTCTTTTGTTAATCACAAATTAAAGAAAATATTTTCTGGAAGACAGTAAATTCTAGTTTTCATCATTGGTCAAAAATATTTCAATTTTCGATTTGTTTACAGAGAACAAATAAAACCAGAGATAACATAAAGAAGCATAAAGAATTCTATATACATTCTTATGTTAAAGGAAATATTGTAACAGTGACTTTGGACGATCTAGGGATCTAGCCCATGGCCAATTAGTAGAATGTACTATTTGTTGGCCATTATCTAATCAATACAGTTTTTTAACCTAATAGCAAAGAAAAAAAAGTCTAATCTTTATCTGCATTCCTATAACACCAACAAAACATTGTCACACACAAAAAGGAGCCAAATGTGGTTTTTAACCTCTTTTTCCATAAAACCATAAAAAGCATAAAAGCTGGATTAACTGCCTCCCGAACCCACATTTCACCAGCCGGGTTCTCATCCCCAGCTGGCAAAACTGGCAATCCTTTATTTTTGTTTAAATACCTGGTTTGCAGCCAGAAGGGAAAGTGAGTACATAAAAAGAGGGGTTTTGGTTTTTTTTTTTTTTTCATTTTTGAAGAGAAATGACTGAAATATAAAACTATTGTTAAAAACTCTGCTTGATAAAATATATTGTATTTAGCTTTGTAAAATGAATACTGATTCTCAAATGGTTGTGCTTCTGAACATACGTGCTGTAATTGATATAATGATGTACAATGCTATAATTAGAACTGTTTGCGGTATCGCTTTGTAGTGAACAGCACTGATGTACCGTATTGTCTCACTGCCGTGTAACTGTAAGCACTGCTGAGGATAAAATATCCCAACTCTCTACTTAAAGGATTTTGCTATCAGTTAAAAAAGAGTGATTTTTTGTTGTTGTTGTTCAATTCCTGCCTCCAAACAAGGTGAAATATAAGAAATTTTAAAAAACCAAGTGATTACAATATTCTGCTTGTGGATATATAATATGCCACATGTTCCCACTGTTCATATTTCCATTCTTTCTCCTCAAATCTAAATGATTTCAAAACACAATACTGTGAAATACTTTAGAAATCCAAAGTCAAATGATTTCAAATCCAACAGACTTTTCAATACTACTTTTGGAAGATAATTCTTCCTTACTCAAATCACTTCTTTTTCTAAAATTATAGTAACACATAAAATACACTTTTAACGTAAGAGCTGTGACTCAGACTTTTTCCCTAGCAGAAAAGCTGGTTTATTTTATGATCACTGTGAAGGCGAGACAAGGGCATGATAAATGGTGATATAAAGCAGAAGCACAGCAATGAAAACATTTTAACGCCACTGACACATAACTTATTATATAATTTGTATATAAATACGGGTCAAACGCATTCCTAGAGAAATCCTAAGTAAAAGACTTATCTCGATGAGTCAGGCTGTCTCTTTCCCAGAAAATCAGTACTACTGACTTTTAAATGACATCTGCAGTGAGACATGAATGCAGACATTTGGTATTTCCTCCTTTCCCTATTGTCTTTTACAACCTTGGATGCACCTCTACTTTATACCTACATTTAACACAAATGCCCAAACAGCTAAAGGACAAGACAATCTGGACCCCTGGAAGAAACAGAAATGTTGAAAGTGGTGAGGGGTCACATCAAACCAAAACCCAAACAGAGCACAAAGGTCTAGGGAAAAAAAGGGCTTAGTCTCAATTTTCCAACCAGAAGTCAGAAATCAACTTACTTTCAGATATAACAAAACCTAAGATTCAAAGAGGCCACAGTAAATATTACTTATATTAAATATTCTGGTAACATGTGATGAAGATACTTCCATTTATAAATCAATTTGGTGAGAGAAACATGAACAGGCTTTTAAATAGTGATTAATTTCAAAGAATGGTATTAAATAAAAAAACGTATTTTAAAATATCATCAATTAATGTTCCCAATATAAAAACTTATCTGGCTAACAAGCCTTAAAAAACAAAACAAAAAGCCACCCATTCATCCCAGTATTCTGTTACTAATTAGGGTTAACTGGGAGGTGGAAGGGACACCTCTTCCAGCTTGCTGGTCAGGCCACACAATGCTCCCAAGACAAGCAATTATAAGGAGGCTCTGAATACCTGGAGTGGGTTACTGCTCAATCAATAATCCTGACAGAACAGATGGGGGAAAATTAAACATTGAAACAAACTGTCTGCACACCTATGTTGTGAAAGTAAACTGTGAACTCGGATGAACCAATTTACTACGAATTCAAAAATTTCTTTCTGGTAACCTTACATTTCAGGTAAGTACTAAGTGATGTACATGGAACATTAGCACTTATGGAAACTCTACATACACTCTCAACATCATTAAAAAGTAATGACAAATATCCTAATTCAGACTTTAAAACAGATCGCAGTTTGAAGAGACACAGGTATTTCAATTCATAAGAATTCTAATTTAATGGTCTCTTCATAAACATGTACTTCATAACTATTTCTCAACTGCCACTTGGTTCTAATAATTCTTAAGAGAGAGTTGGCTGTTTACTATGAACTGCACTATCCTCAGCCTTTTGGCCTCCTCCTCCTAGAATGCGTAAAGCAAACTCAGGCTAGACAGCAAAATCCTTGAACCAGGGCAAAGCTGAACGGACACAATCATGGTGACTGAGTCCCACTCACACGGCTCTTCCCACAGATCTCTCTACTTTATTCCGAAGCAACAGACACCATGGAAGTAAAAGAAACTGGGTCACTGCAATCCCAGCAAAAATAGCTATTAATGAGTACTACGTGCAACTACCCAAGTTTGGGTAGTTTTTAATATGTTTTCATGCTTCCGAGAATTTAAAATTAAACTTGTGTTTTACCTAGAATCATATCAAATATATCAAAGCCAAATATCATATAACACGGAAAAGAAGTTTAGGTGAAAAACAGCTACTATAAAAACTAATAGGACTCTAAATAAAACCCACTATTTATAAATACTGAGAGGCATGAATTCCGTTTTAGTTCACATTTCGAACAATACCTAACTATGGGACAAAATGAGATGGACTGCTAATATTACCCAAAATAGTAAAGAGCAGCACCACAGTAAACAAATAATCCGAACATGTCCAATGGGTAACAAGCCACTTCACATGGCAGTTCTTAAATATGAATTCCAGCCATAAAGCAGAAAACTGCTATCTGAACTGATCATTGTGCTCCTAGAGGAAATTAAGGAAATCTAATTTTCACTTTGATATAGGGGATGAGTCCTTTTCAGAAACACCAGGCAGGTGAAGGTTTTCAAAGGTACCTCTGGAGAACAGGTATTATGTGAATTACTTATAACTGAATACAATGGTAAGGTTGTACACAAGTTTTAGAAAGGCTAAAACAACTCTTTTCACAAAACGCTCTTAGAAGTTCTAAGACGAATGTCACCACGTGCAGGAATATGGAGAGCTCTGTCCAAAGGCTAATCAAATGTAACTGTACATGCTACGAATTTTCCCTGCAGAGTAAACATCCAAACACACCTCACTTTGGCCTCAGTCATTTCTCTTAACATTTCCAAGTGATAACACTGAAAGAGTCCACAAAATGACATCTTTTACACTTACTCTTTGGACTTGAAGTACGTAAG